CATTGTACGCTGCCCGCCAGATTCAAAAGACAACCAACCCTGTCTGGACAGGGGTGGTTTCTGGCGGAACCAAAAGTAGTTTTGTGGTTCCCTGGTTCACCCCTGTCGATTCGACTACTTTTCCGTCAAAATCCGGACCCATCAATTTTCGCTAAAAATGGGAAGGCTATAGCCTTTGTAAATTTGGCCAAAAATGAAAAAAATAAAAATCGCTGGAAATGACCGGGATTGGTCCGACAGAACCCCCTTTCAATCTCTCAGTCGAAATTTTACGCCACCAGGCCATTATAAGTGAGTTACGCCTGTTCTTTCTTGGACCGGCTCGCCTGCTAGGTAGGCAGCCCGTTGTACGCTGCCCGCCAGATTCAAAAGACCACCCCTTAAAACTCAAGTTTCTGTGGACAGGGGTGGTTTCTGACGGAACCAAAAGTAGTTTTGTGGTCCCCTGGGTCACCCCTATCGAATCGACTACTTTTCCGTCGAAATCCGGATCCATCAATTTTCGCTAAAAACACAAAGGCTATAGCCTTTGTAAATTTGGCCAAAAATGAAAAAAATAAAAATCGCTGGAAATGGTTGGGATTGGTTTGACAGCATCATCTTTCAATCTCCCCGTCGTAATTTTAAGCCGTCGGGCCATTTCAAGTGAGTTACGCCTGTTTTTGTTAGACCGGCTCGCCTGCTTAGGTAGGCAGCCCATTGTACGCTGCCCGCCAGATTCAAAAGACCATCCCTTAAAACTCAAGTTTTTGTGGACAGAGGTGGTTTCGGACGGAACGAAAGGTAGTCTTGGGGTTCCCTGGTTCAGCTCTGTCCATTCGACTACTTTTCCGTCGAAATCCGGACCCACCCATTTTCGCTAAAAACACAAAGGCTATTTAGCCTTTGTAAATTTGGCCAAAAATGAAAAAATTAAAAATAGGTGGAAATGATTGGAATTGGTCTAGGAGAGTCGACTTTGACCAGCTCTGTCGAAATTGCATGCTTCCTGCCTCTTTTGCATTCTGTTTCTTCGACTATAAAATTGCGTCTTTGGTTTGTTGCAGGAAGATTATATATCGGCCTGGAGGTGCACCTGACTTGGACATCAGCAAAGCAGCCTATGTGTCACCTGTCACCTGCTGTATGCTGAGTTGGAGTTGGAGCACACATGATTGCATGAATGAATCTGGTAAGTTTTGACTTTCAATGTGATGTTAACATAAAATACCAGTACATTTATGGTAGTCATGTTTGGTAAAAGTTTATTTT